TATTTGATTACGTTATAAAAATGGCGCGTGCTGCCGATAACTACGGCTTCTGTTTCGGACCAAAGGAACTGATTAAAGAAAAGTTGTCTCAGCATAAAAAGGTCCATTTAAAAGTATGCTTTAATCTCTGTAAAGTATTGAAAAAATATAATTATCAAGTATCTCAACACGTTCCTTATTGACACATATTCTACATGTACACGTAGTGGTTTTGCCATACAGTTTATTGTGTGTGATGGTTAATATGACTTCCTAAATGTTAGCGTTTGGAGACAGTGAAAGTGGGAAAGAGAGTATACATAGATTTATATTCATGGTCTAGAAAAAAAATGGCCAAAGACATTGAGTTGTTTAATGTAATAAATAAATTCACAAACGTTTCCTTTTTATATTCGCGTGTAGTTTGTCATTGCATATATGCACTTTATGTAAACATTTGAAAAGGGATATTCGTCTCGTGAATATTCCTTTTTACAGAAAGGTTTGTCCCATTGTTGAGGGAGTGTTTAGCCCCGTACCACCTGTACCGGTCACGGGAGAAGGCTGTGATAAATTGTAAAAACTTGTGCCCCATCCTTTGTTTAATTTTATTGGCAACAAATTTATGTTAAAAGCTAAATAAATTTAAATTCTTAATATTGGCAAGTGTGCAATTAACTTCTGATGATGAATAATTACTGTTCAATAAGTTTGAATACGGAATTAGAAATCATATAACTTGGTTTCATAGTGCGGTAAGAAGTTGCAGTTGCCTGACGGCCCCTCTCTGAGGGCCCCTTTGTAAACCGTTTCATCTCGCTCGCACCACTTGTGTTTGCTGCCTAATCGGGTGACGTTATCGGCGCTATTTTTAGCCGGGCTTTCCCGAACAATTCAAGTGGTCAAACTGGACATTTGGAATGGACTATGAATATGGGGATAGCGAGGTAACATAAGTGGAAGTGCATACAATACATACATTCATTAAAAAAAAAACGCCTTTTCACGTGATGTCCCTTTAACCTACAAAATTATAAACGTACCACATTATTTGACAGAATCTGGCTCAAACGTGATATTTCACATGAACGTAATTGAGGAGATGTGGTTTTGTAGGGGAGATATAAAAGAGGATGAGGTTTTATAGGGGAGATATAAAAGAGGGTGAGGTTTTGTAGGGGAGATTTAAAAGAGGATGAGGTTTTGAAGGGAAGATATAAAAGAGGATGAGGTTTTATAGGGGAGATTTAAAAGAGGATGAGGTTTTGTAGGGGAGATTCAAAAGAGGGTGAGGTTTTGAAGGAGAGGCTAAAAGAGGATGAGGTTTTGTAGGGGAGATTTAAAAGAGGATGAGTTTTTGTAGGGGAGATTCAAAAGAGGATGAGGTTTTGAAGGAGAGACTAAAAGAGGATGAGGTTTTGTAGGAGATATTTAAAAGAGGATGAGGTTTTGTAGGGGATATATAAAAGAGGATGAGGTTTTGTAGGTATCATAAAAATCAGGGGAATGAAAAGTTTAATATGAAAGTAAACTTTTAAAGATATGACTAATGGATTAATCTTTATAGATATGATTATCTGATTAATCTCTATAGATAGGATAACTTGATTAATCTATATATATATATGATAACTCGATTAATCTTTATAGATATGATAACTCGATTAATCTCTATAGATATGATAACTTGATTAATCTCTATAGATATGATAACTTAATCAATCTCTATAGATATGATTATTGGATTAATCTCTATAGTTATCATTATTGGATTGATGTCTATAGATATGATAACTTAATCAATCTCTATATATGATAACTTGATTAATCTCTGTAGATATGATAACTTGATTAATCTCTATAGATATGATTATTAGATTAATCTCTATAGATATGATAATTGGATTAATCACTTTATATATGGCTAATTGGATTAATCTTTATAGATATAATAACAAGATTATGTTTTACATGAACATCCTGGCTCTTCATCTCTCACACTGCTCCCTTCCTAATTACTTTAATCAGCATACAATGAAGGTTCTGGTCTTTGGATGCCTTCCCTATCATTTGTCTTCCGTCTCTCCCTCGTTCTGGACTGTGGTGGTCCTAATACCCTTAACACATTCTCCAGGCTCCTCTCTTCTCATAGACATCTTCCTACTGGAATAGCACTAACACCATGGCCCCTCCCCTGTCTCTAATTTTAGATATCCTTCCCCTTTACCTCCTCCCCAAATATACCCTCTTCTTCCTCTTCTCATTTCATAGCTGTCCCTTCCCCCTCCCAAGCTGATTCTTCCCCCTCCCTAGTTGTCTCTTCCTTCTCCCTTCCCTTCTCTTCCCCCTCCCTAAGCTACTCTATCCCCCTCCCTAGGCCACTCTCCCAACCCCCAGCCCCAACCCCAGGCCACTCTCCCAACCCCCAGCCCCCACCCAAGGCCACTCTTCCCCTCCCTTGAGTTTGCTCTGTCTCTTTATGTCTAATTTACAGACATCATGTCCTAGTACTCCCCATAGGGCAGTTACATGAATAAATCAGAACATCATGTATCTCTCTCCAGGAATGTTAATTTAATGAAATAAAAATACCTACGAAGGAGATCCTTAACCTGATTAGCCACTCAGGGATGTTACAGGCACCATAGAAAAATCTCTACAAATAGACCACTCTCTTCTACTCCAAATATTCTTTCTGTAGATATTCATCTATGTTGATATTTTTTTGTTTCTGTAGATATTCATCTATGTTCATATATTTTTGTTATGAATCATTTTCCTACCTGTTTCCCCTTGGTAATTTTTATAACATAAATATTTTTCATATTGCAATGGGGAGTTGTAGCTCAGATCATACAATGCCTACATGCAATGAACTTGGAGGACTTGACACAACAACCTCTGTCTGGATTCAATACACAATTAAAAGTGTGTAAGGTAGATTTGGAATAGCTATAAGACAAGCTACAGGAGTTTATGTTCCAAACTTTAATATCGTTTTATTGTTTTTAAATTTATTTTTAGTTTTGAATAGAAAACTATCGGGTTTACATGTTTTATACATGGAATTCTGAATGAAAATACACGAGCTGGTGAACGTTTTGTCAGTGAATGACCCCCTACTGGGAGCCAGATTTCAGTGGTAACTTAAATACCAATATCTACAATATTATAGAATATTATATTGAGAACATATTAATGTAAGCTCAGATCCTCAAGATGGCTGTTTGACATGTACATTTGTTTTAGACTGTCAATAGAAAGTGTATAAACCTAGTAACAGTCCTTAGCAACAGGTCAATCTCTGAAACCTGATGGTCCTAGCTCCAATACCCTCCGATATGATATCAGCCTCGTCAGAAATAGGAGGAGACACCTTTCCATTCCAATCAGATGCAGATCAGAGAGATAAAAACTCATCAACTCCATCATTACCAAAGCTCAGCAATTCAACTTTCAATAAGAAACAACAGGAATCAATATTTTTAATTAATGTTTTTTTGTTTTTTTTTAATAAAAATAAAAATTTGATTCAAGCAGGACTATTTTTTATCATGTTGTTCAGAAAATGTATGGGAATGTGATATTTGGGAATAAATTGATTCAGACAGTCAGAATTGAAAATAATTACATTGAAATATCATTGGTTTAAAAACTGTGAAAACACATCATTAGGCCCTGGAATGCTTTGTCATGACTAGCAATTTCTCCAGGTTTGAGAAAAAAGAGGGGACGATGGTAGTGCTCTGTAGTCATAATTTAAAAAAGAAAAAGAAAAAAGGGATGACAGGATCTTCCTCACCGGAGAATGACGCCAGTAACTCTTTGGCAATACATGGAACCATTATTGCACTAACTCCGACAACGCAGTTGTAATATTGAGTACTTCACAATCCGACGTCATACGTCATCAAAATTACAGTCAGAAAACCCTGTCAGAAAATTGTGAACATAGATGAGAAATGTCAGACCTGTATTCCAGTGTTGTTGTACCTTTGTACCTACTGTTAACTAAATCTTTGTCCAGTTTTAAAGCTTCTTATTCATTTTCTTGAATTGTGTTATTGTGGTTCTTCATCATAGCTTATTGCCTGTTCACAGCATGGTCTAAAATCCTGATGGATAAATCTGGGTTCATAATGAACCTAATTTAGTCAGATTAACAGAAACACGAGCCTCACACCCTGATCAGTTTGCATGCAGTATATATACACACCTGACACACATCCAGTACTAGATGTACTGTTAACACAGGTAAAAAATGTCATGATATTATCTGGTCTGACCACTAATTACTGTGGTCAACCATCAAATTCCATAGTTTTATGAAAACTATTTTACTGTGTTGAATAAACTTAAAACAAATGCATCATCACCAAGTATCTATAAATTGATTAGCATATACTTACTTAAATCATTATTTCTACCAGGAGGTTATCTTGAATTCCTAGCTGTACTGGTAAAAAAGTGTGCCATCTCTATGTCACTGCAGTCTTGGAGCCTGGGATGAATAAACAGAATCCAGGGACTGTTGTAGACATGAATCTCAATTTCTTGATCTGTGATTTCCTTTCTGTTCATTCATCCATAGGCGCCTGGGAAATTGACTGGAATCAGAAACGGTAAGGATCTAACAATTATCTGTCATATCGGCATTACCAGTACGGATACCCAACACATTGTCCTCAGCACCTAATTGTAAGGACCCAACAATTCTATTTTGTTAGCTAAAACATGGGTCAATATGGAAACATAATCACCTGGCTACCTGTTTGACTATTCCTAGACACATGGAGAGGGAATCGTTATCCTAATCAATGGGTAAACCAGTAAATTGATACATGTGTACAGAGTTGGACTGTGTATTTGTATGGGAGTTGTCTGTATCTCCCTATAGCTATACACTGATCTGTATCTAGTTTACATACTGACAACACATCTAAAAGATTTTATCCCGGAATTAAAGGGAGAATATTTACACTGAGGGGTCAGTGTTAATGTTTGTAAACCTGCTAGTTTAATTAAGTTTGGTTAGCTTCTACCGATTTCAAGGTAAGAACCACCAACAGTTTATTGCCGTAGTACAGTGTACAGAATGTAAGAAGCAATGGAGAACTGTAATACTCTTGTAGCGGGACTGGGCTGGGTGGCTGCTGCCCACCAATGTGGTACATCATTATGTTAGGTCTAGGGACTGGGCTGGGTGGCTGCTGCCCACCAATGCGGTACATCATTACGTTAGGTCTAGGGACTGGGCTGGGTGGCTGCCGCCCACCAATGTGGTACATCATTACGTTAGGTCTAGGAACTGGGCTGGGTGGCTGCTGCCCCCCAATGTGGTACATCATTACGTTAGGTCTAGGGACTGGGCTGGGTGGCTTCTGCCCACCAATGTGGTACATCATTACGTTAGGACTAGGGACTGGGCTGGGTGGCTGCTGCCCACCAATGTGGTTCATCATTACGTTAGGTCTAGGGACTGGGCTGGGAGGCTGCTGCCCACCAATGTGGTACATCATTACGTAAGTTCTAGGGACCGGGCTGGGTGGCTGCTGCCCACCAATGTGGGACATCATTACGTTAGGTCTAGGGACTGGGCTGGGTGACTGCTGCCCACCAATGCGGTACATCATTACGTTAGGTCTAGGGACTGGGCCGGGTGGCTGCTGCCCACCAATGCGGTACATCATTACGTTAGGTCTAGGGACTGGGCTGGGTGTCTGCTGCCCACCAATGTGGTACATCATTACGTTTGGTCTAGGAACTGCGCTGGGTGGCTGCTGCCCACCAATGTGGTACATCATTACGGTAGGTCTAGATTAGTAAGCGGTCACCTTCAGTTGTTTATTAATTAAGTGACTTTATTCACGTACCAAACAAGCAAGAGATTAAATTGTCTATACACTGATCTGTATCTAGTTTACATACTGACAACACATCTAAAAGATTTTATCCCGGAATTAAAGGGAGAATATTTACACTGAGGGGTCAGTGTTAATGTTTGTAAACCTGCTAGTTTAATTAAGTTTGGTTAGCTTCTACCGATTTCAAGGTAAGAACCACCAACAGTTTATTGCCGTAGTACAGGGTACCGAATGTAAGAAGCAATGGAGAACTGTAATACTCTTGTAGCGGGACTGGGCTGGGTGGCTGCTGCCCACCAATGTGGTTCATCATTACGTTAGGTCTAGGGACTGGGCTGGGGGGCTGCTGCCCACCAATGTGGTACATCATTACGGTAGGTCTAGATTAGTAAGCGGTCACCTTCAGTTGTTTATTAATTAAGTGACTTTATTCACGTACCAAACAAGCAAGAGATTAAATTGTCTATACACTGATCTGTATCTAGTTTACATACTGACAACACATCTAAAAGATTTTATCCCGGAATTAAAGGGAGAATATTTACACTGAGGGGTCAGTGTTAATGTTTGTAAACCTGCTAGTTTAATTAAGTTTGGTTAGCTTCTACCGATTTCAAGGTAAGAACCACCAACAGTTTATTGCCGTAGTACAGTGTACAGAATGTAAGAAGCAATGGAGTACTGTAATACTCTTGTAGCGGGACTGGGCTGGGTGGCTGCTGCCCACCAATGTGGTACATCATTACGTTTGGTCTAGGAACTGGGCTGGGTGGCTGCTGCCCACCAATGTGGTACATCATTACGTTAGGTCTAGATTATTAAGCGTTCACCTTCAGTTGTTTATTAATTAAGTGACTTTATTCACGTACCAAACAAGCAAGAGATTAAATTGTCATTGATTGTGTTCGTCTGATTGTAAGTATATTTTGACTGTTCGACCTCTGTTTAACAGGTGTTTCAGTAATATTTCAAGTAGCTTCTATACAGCACAAAGTAGGCAGTTAATTTCAGTGTATTCCATAGCACCCCATTACCATTCTTCTAATTTTCTCATGAAAGCAGCTGGTAAAATACTACTGTATGAGGGTATTTTTACGACTAATGAAACCACTGCATGAATATTTGATCTGTAATGTGATCTTGACCATTTTACCTGTGTTTTCACCTATTTGATCTCTTATCATTTCCATAAATATTTGACTTCTCATTTCATCTTGGCCATTTGACCTTTCATTGCATGTTACCTTGAATATTTTACCTTTTTTTTCACCTTTACTTTTTGACCTCTATTTTAACATTGATCATTTGACCTTAGATTAATACCGTGAATATTTGACCTCTTTTTTTCATCTTGACCATTTGACTTCTAATTGCAACTAAATTGGCCATCTGACTTCTAAATTTCACCTGAAGTACTTGACCTCTATTTTGGTATTGATCCTTTAATATCTGGATTCTGACTTCAAAATTGTTACTTGACCATTCAGCCTGTTATATTCACCATCTGACCTCACAATTTTACCTAGAATATTTTAACTCTGCTTGTACCTTGACCTCTGTATTAATTTGACCATTTAACCTCAGAATGTTACCTTAATTATAATGCTGACCTTTTGACCTCTGATTGGAATGTTGCTTATTTGACCTTATGTTGATCAGTTGAACTGAGTAGACCAGAATAATTTCTAAAAAGTGCAATTTATGATACTTTGTCTAGCAAGTGAAGTTTCATAGCAATTTTCCCAGTAGTTAATTTAAAACTTTAACTAGAAATGTCACAATGACATGAAAGTCACCCCATCATTCTGTATGATCATTTTCCGATAAATCATTGACCGAGCTACAACGGATATATTTCCACCTGTCAATCAAAATGGTAAACAATTACCAGGTGTAAATACATACATGCTGTTCAGATAACCATGCCAACACATGAAATTATAAGAAAGCATGTCGCAAATATAACGTTAGCGTTGACCGACACCTCGAATACGGGGAGATCTGCGCACTGACACGGTCACCTGGCATGGGCAGAACAGGTAACGTTAATTGGAATATAACGATGTTGTTTTCACAACAATAAGTTTCAGAAAAGTTTCAATCTTATATACGGATAATTTTTTGTTATGAAATACACTTTTCCAAGTAGTTTTCTGATCGTCTGCAAATCCGACTGAATCGGTCATCGATATTGGCAGAATGTGTACGTTTAAATGCAGTTATTCCGACGAGGACCGCCATTAGCCGAATTCGCGAGACATAAAGAACACCAAACAATTGTGATTTCAACAATTCTCCTTCGAAAAGAAAAGATCGGAATGTTTTTGGCTGTTTTGAACCCGTTGATATTTAATTTTCAAACTCAAACCTTTATTATTATCGATTCAATTCGCATGGATGTCACCTTGTAAATTCCTGCCGGTTAATAGTATCACGTGACGTTGACTCTTTGCGGTACACAAACTTCCTAACTTCGCCACTTTACCCATATCGTTTTGACACATTCCTACGGTCAAGATTGAAGAGTTCAGCATGATTTTACCCAAGAACGAAATTTTAACCGCAGAGTGATAAATGCGATGCAATTCTTCGTTAGTTGAGCCTACTTTACTCGAGTTTATTTATCCGGTTTCATAGTATGATATGACTTAAACTTGCAACTTTTCGTAATTGTTAAATTGGCAATGCAATCAGGGATTAGTCAACGAAATGTAGCAGTTTTATTGCTGCGAGCATATTTCAAAACATTTCCGAAAATCCTCAAAAAATTTACGAGAAATGGTCGCGACCAAGGACTGGTTTTGGATTGTTCTTGAGTATCGTGTACACCCCTTTCTTGACACTTCATTTTCCCCTTAAAAAAGTGTGCACTATATGCAAATATTAACAGTAGTCGTTAGTCAGACATAAAATATCAAAATCAGTCAATAGCAATTTATAATACGACAGTTTACCCCTTCGGGAACCTCAAAGGTGCCTGATTCATACTTGGAACATATTTAGGTTATATGTAATTCCTGTTTAAAAAGGAAATAGATATCCGAGTTATCCAAGAGCTTGTTTAATTACAGCCTGGTATATTCCGACAGAAGCAAGACACTTAACAGCCCAACAAACAGAGGTCAAAATCTGGGACTGAAACCAAAATGAATAGTCCCCACCAGGGTTCCCCCAGGGGTGACTAAAAATAATTGATTTGGCCTTGAAGTGCTGAAGGTCCTGAAAGTCGTACACATACCTGCCTAACCATCGTCAGCATAATTCTGACGATTCATCGACATACATATCCAGATAGATAAATTCAGAATTCACGGCCAGCAAGGATGATGACTTGGTATAACCTGTGGAATTGTCTATAAAATTCATCACATTCTCAACGGTGAAGCAGCTTAGAATGGCTAACAGAAGTACTTAAATATGTCAATAAATATATTCCAACATAGAGTGTGCCAGCTTAACAAAACAAGTTAATCACCTGGAATCTTCTAAAGTCTGTAGGAATACAAGTCTCAAATATGTATGGATGAATGCCCACATTTCCCCAAGTCACAAAAAGAAACACACTCATTCATAAACATCCTAAGAATGTAGTTAATATTGTTGCAAGTCTGCAACTTTGTGCATATATGATGATATTGTAGATTGTGTTGTACTTGTACAATTTTTAAGTGCATCATGCTGTCACAAGTACTGTCAAACCTATTCACGCTAACCATCTCCATGAAAGACCACGTGTGTCGAGGTGTTAAGAGCCCACTTTTAATGTCCCCCATTGCAGTGATTTCATTATGAAATTAACCTGTATTAAAAAAAATGCCTGCCAGAAAATGCCTGCCCTAAGAGGCCATAGTTGTTGGACTTTCGGGGGTGGTCTTTTAATACAGGTTTCACTATACATACTATATAGTACATACTATATAGTGCATGTAGTTGTAAACATATATTTTTTTCCAAATTGAAGTATTGAATAGCATACACAACTTGTTTAAGAAAAGAAACATATACCTCAATATTATTATAATGTTGTTTGACACAGTCAAAAAAACAGAAGAATAATATAATCTGCCATGGCCTTGGCATTGACTACTTAAGGGATCACAACCCAAGACACAAGTAGGTGGTCAGATGAGAGCATTGGCCTTTCACCAAGATGACTGCAGTTTGATTCACCAATCGGATGTGAAAAGATATGGGGTCACCTGTCCAACCGTGGGTTTTCTCCGGGTACTTCAGTTTCCACCCACATGATGACCTCAAGCGCATTAACATTCGGCCCAACAACAGTGATTGATATGATTTATAATAATATTTTTCATGATTGTAAATATTATTATAATATATATATATACTACATTATATTTGTATCTCAACCAAAGAACCAAAGAGGGATAATTCTTGAGTCAAGGAACAGGCAGCTTTACAGAGCTCTTGGCAACTTAAGAAGGATCAGATTGTTTTTCTATCAACTTGTTGGCCCAGCTGTCATGATGCAATGTTGATGCTACGTGCTCTATCCATGGTTCATGTAATTATATATAACATCATATAATTGTTATGGGAATACACTCGTCTATAAAGCACTAAGGTGTGATAAGGATACCTCACACCAGGGAATGTAGGTACACCCGGCTGTCCAGGGTAAGAACAATATGGTTCTTAACCATTCTTAAAAATCATTACCAAAATTATTCTGCAGGAAATAATTAATTCCAAGTAATGTGAACTAACTGTATCGTGCTTCAGCCAGAAACATAATGTACATGCATGATCCCTAATTGATCATTAATTGATCACTAATAACTTTCAAACCGTGGCTGCACCGTCAAAACTACAACAAAATTATAATGAGCAGTTAATTCTTTTTATTTCCAATATTTCATTTAAAAATATTTTAAGAAATACAAATCCTGTTTACCATCATTAGTGTTTTGTTGGCA